TGTTGACCAGGATGGTCTCGATTTCTTGACCTCGTGATCCACCCGCCTCGGCCTCCCAAAGTGCTGGGATTACAGGCGTGAGCCACCGCGCCTGGCCGAGATACTTATATTTTAAATTCTAATCATATTGTAGGCATTTGGAAAAGCACTTACACTCTATTAAGGCAATTAGCTCTAGTAATGGATTGCTTTGATGCCATGTTGATTAAAAGATTAAATCAATGGCTTGATTGCTAATTATTTGTTTTCTCAAATTTACATAAAATCTAGTACTTCTTTTTACATGAGTTGATGTTGGTTAACCATTCTTACAAACACAGAGATGGGAAAGTGTATTAGAATCCCAAAGAATCCTTCTTTCAATCCGGTATAGAGACTCCATTGTTTGCCAGCTGGGCCAACATTTATGAATTGTGATTCAGAGGGAAAAGAAGGATCCAGGCCCTTTCTGAGTTGAAGCTGCAAGATGTGATGTGCCTGAACTCTCCTGTCATATGTTTCAAGTCATGCGGTGAAAGATGATTTGAGAGAACAGAAAGTAAAAAGAAGCAGAATAGTCAAAAATGGAAAAAAAAAATGCTGTCAGGAGTCAGGGTTTGGGACTGAGGTGTTTTGGGGTCTCAGTTGCTACATTTTCCTTCCTGTAGTTTACTTACATATGCCAATAAATTATTCTTACTGTCTTTTTACATGAGCCAACATACCTTCAGTTTCACGCTGGCAAAAGAGTTTGAGGTAGGTTCTCACTCTGTCTCCCAAGCTGTAGTGCAGTGGCCTGATCATGGCTCACTGCAGTCTCCGTCTCCCAGGCTCAAGTGATTCTCCCACCTTAGTCTCCTGAGTAACTGGACTAAAGGTGTGCACCACCATGCCTAGCTAACTTTTGTATTTTTTGTAGAGACTGGGTTTCGCCATGTTGCTCAGGCTGGTCTTGAACTCCTGAACTCAAGCAATCCGCCCACCTTGGCAGCCCAAAATGCTGGGATTACAGGTGTGAGTCATCACACCTGGCTGAGTTGTGCTTCTTTTTATTATTAAAAAGTGGAAAAAAGAGAGCTGATAAAGATGTCTCCAGATCCTACAAGATGAGAGTACTTTTCTATCTAATATTTTTTAATATTGTGTTTTATAATTAAAGTCTACAAATTTTACCATCTTGTCCCAGTAAACATTCTTTATGGTGCCATGTAACTCAATTCACTGATAGACAATAATTATTGATGTTGCTACCCACTATAGTTTTTTTTAAGATAATGAAAACTAACATTTAAAAATAGAATTGTGTTTTTTATAATAAAAACCAACAGCTAGTCATCTTCCCCCATCATCAAGTTAATAATTTAATATTTGTGTCAATTTGCAAGGTATTTCACGAGTTACTTATTATTTTTTACTTAGTCATGTATAAGACACTTCAGTTGTCTTGAAATCAAGCACATTTCCTTGGGAACTTTGGGAAAAGGAGAGACAAATAGGAAGGATTCAGAGAATGTTGTATGAAATTGCTTTAATTAGATGGATATCTTATTCACTAGTACTAGAAGAAACAAAGAATGAGTGTTTATTATTTACTCTTTATTTGGACTTGTAGAAAGTCGTTTTCTGTTGTTGTGTTTATTTTTGTCTGAAAGAGGTTCAAATACAATCCCTAGAGTTACATTTTAGAAGACTGCTATCAAAAGGAATCTGCAAGACAGTTCTCATTTCTTTTGAATTGATTCCATATTCAAATACGTTACTGTTCAATAAATATCCAATGCTCTTTCTCTATTCTCAAACACCCAATCTGGATATCTAAAAATATGCCTCATTCTGGTATATCAAATATGTGTAGCTGGCCGGATGCAGCAGCTCATGCCTGTAATCTCAGCACTTTGGGAGGCCAAGGCAGGCAGGTCACCTGAGGTTGGGAGAACAGCCTGGCCAACATGGTGAAGTCCCTTCTCTACCAAAAGGTACAGAATTAGCCAGGCATGGGCAACTGTAAACCTAGATTTTCAGGAGGCTGAGACAGGAGAATTGTTTGAACTCAGGAGGTGTAGGGGTTGCAATGAGCCAAGATGGCGCCACTGCATTCCAGCCTGGGAAAGAGTGAGTCCCCATCTCAAAAAATCCAATCAACCAACCAACCAAACAAAAAACAAACATGTGTAGCTAATTACACCTCTTTGTAAATTTGAATAAGTATGAGAAAAAAATAGTGCCAGATATTTCTAATTGATTCAGTCTTCAGTGAAGCATCAATTCTAAGTCTATAAAGGGTAATGAAAAATTTGCTTTTTTTTTTGTAGTCTGCACATATTTTTAAAGGCAATTTTGAGCACTTCAGCACTAACAGTACTTTTTCCTCACAATGCTTACCTTGACATTTCTAATAAGTGAGTGAACGAATTATTTCTACTAATATTCAAGTAATGTCTCAGCATGATGAAAAATATTCATGTTTAAGAACTTGCATGGAAATCTTTTAGATATCAGGTGGCTACAGTGATCACAGGTCTTTGCAGAAAAAAAAATGTTCACAAGTTAAATATGTAGGTAGGGCTCTCACCCATCCTTGATCTCTGCACTAGACTATTGATTTCATTAAGGATGCAGTATAGCCCAGAGTCTTTAAGCAAACACATTTTCCCCTTAAAAATCAAATAGAGGAATAGGCAAAGAATTCTCTTTCATCTATAAATTATGAAGCCAAGTTCAAGAAATTCAAACTAC